TATGTTAAGGGACTTAAAGGGAGACTTAGATTCCAATACAACAGTATTGGGGGACTTCAATACTCCACTCTCAGAAATAGACAGATCAACTGGACAGAAGATCAACAAGAAAACAGCAGACCTAATTGACACTATAGCCCAAATGGATCTAACAGATATCTACAGAACTTTTAATCCTACACTGAAAGAATTTACATTCTTCTCAGCAGTACATGGAGCCTACTCTAGGACTAACCACATACTAGGCCATAAAGCAAGTCTCAGCAAATTTAAAAGAATTAGAATCATACCATGCAGATTATCAGACCACAGTAAAATGAAGCTGGAAATTAGCAACTGAGTAATCCCTAGAGCATATGCAAACTCATAGAGACTGAACAACGTGCTCCTGAATGAACACTGGGTCATAGAAGAAATAAAAAGAGAAATCAAAAACTTTCTGGAAGTAAACGAGGATAACAACATAACATATCAAAACTTATGGGGTATAGGAAAAGCAGTGTTAAGAGGAAAGTTTATAGCAATAGGTACCTATACCAAGAAATTGGAAAAGCACCAAATAAATGAGCTTTCAACACATCTCTAAGATCTAGAAAATCTGCAGCAAACAAGACCCAAAACTAGTAGGAGAAGAGAAATTATTAAAATCGGAGAAGAAATCAACAGAATTGAATAAAAAATTACAAAAGATCAGCCAAACGAAGAGCTGTTTTTTGCAAAAAATAAACAAAATTGACACACCATTGTCCCAACTAAAAAAATAAAAGACACAAATCAATAAAATCAAAGATGAAAAAGGGAATGTAACAACAGACACCACAGAAATAAAAAGAATCATCAGAAATTACTACAAAGAGTTGTATGCCAGCAAATAGGGAAATCTATCAGAAATGGTTAGATTCCTAGACACATGCAACCTACCTAAATTGAACCATGAAGACATAGAAAACATAAACAGATGCATAACTGAGACAGAAATTGAGTCAGTAATATGAAAAACCCACAGACAGCATCCTATTGAATGGGAAGCATTTCCACTGAGATCTGGTACCAGACAGGAATGCCCACTCTATTCAATATAGTTCTGGAAATTTTAGCCAGAGCCATCAGGCAAGAAAAAGAAATTAAAGGGATACAAATTGGGAAGGAAGAAGTCAAACTATCCCTCTTTGCAGATGATATGATTCTTTATTTAGGGGATCCAAAGACCTCAAATAGCTAAAGCAATCTTGTACAACAGAAACAAAACCAGAGGCATCACAATACCAGATTTCAGGACATACTACAGGGCAATTGTAATAAAAACAGCATGGTACTGGTACAGAAACAGATGGATAGACCAATGGAACAGAATAGAAACACCAGAAATCAATCCAAACATCTACAGCCAACTTACATTTGATCAAGGATCTAAAACCAATTCCTGGAGCAAGGACAGTTTTCCACTTCCACTTTAACTATGATCTTGTCTAAATAAGATCGGAGTTGGCGAAATCAAAAGGCTTCCATAGCCTTAGCAACTCATGACAAGAGCCTAGGGTAATTACTGATGTCATAAACAAGAGTGTCAATTGTTAAATCAACAATAGGAGTCACTGTGCACTTACTCCCCATGTAGGATCTTTGCCCTTAATGTGTTGTACAATGTGAATTAATGCTATAACTAGTACTCAAACAGTACTTTACACTTTGTGTTTCTGTGTGGGTGGAAACTGTTGAAATCTTTATTTAATATATACTAAAGTGATCTTCTGTATATAAAGATAATTGAAAATGAATCTTGATATGAATGGAATGGGAGCGGGAGATGGGAGGGCTGCGGGTGGGAGGGAAGTTATGGGGGGGGGGATAGCCACTGTAATCCAAAAGCTGTACTTTGGAAATTTATATTTATTAAATAAAAGTTTAAAAAAAGAAATTTTGGTATATATATATGTATATACATATACAGTGTGTGTGTATACTTACACACATACGGAATACTACTCAGCCATAAAAAATGAAATTCTGTATTTTGCAACAAAATGAAGGCAACTGGAAACCATTATACTTAGTGAAATAAGCCAGTTCACAAAAGAAAGACACAAATTTTTCCTAATCTTTGGTAACTACTAGAGTACCATAAAAAATGAAATTTATATGAGTTTAATTGGTATTTTGAGATTCAATGATTGTTACAGCTCTTGTCTCAACTGTTAAGGAATAGTGCTTTTTTCCTTCCATGTGTCGAATTCTATACTTAATGTAGAGTTAATCTTATGAGTATAAAAATAAACTGAAAGTAGTGTATAACATGATGTTTTTAAATATGCACACTGCGGATGGCTAAACCAAGCTAATTAAAATTTATTATTTCAAAAAAGAATTTTTTTGTAATAATTAAAAGAAAGAATAAGGAAGGAAGGAAGGAAGGAGGAGGGAAGATGGGAGCTACGGTAGGAGGGAGGGTTATGTGGGAAGTATCACTATCACTATGCTGCTAAATCTATATATGAAACATGAATTTTGTTTACCTTAAAAATTTAAGAAGAAAAAAATGGTGGTACAGGTTTATCTTTGATACATTATGCTCAAATCTTTTTGGTATATACCCATTTGTGGAATTTCTGCATAACACAGCCAAGTCTATTTCTAGTTTTTTGAGAAATCTTCACACTGTTTTCTACAGTATCTGCACTAATTTACATTCCACCAACAGTGTATAAGCATACCCCTTTCTCTCTCTCCAGCATTTGTTGTTCTCTGTGTTTTGGATTTTAGCCCTTCTTACATGGGTGTGGTGGTATCTCATTATGGATTTGATTTGCATTTCTCTGATGGCTGGTGACACTGAGCTTTATATATATATATATATGTTGGCCATTTGTATTTCTTCTTTTGAGAACTATCTATTGAAGTCGTTTGCCACTTTTCTCAACTGGAGTGGCTGGTTTTTTGTTGTTGAGTTTTATAAGTTGCTAATATATTTGGAATATTATTCTTTTGTCAGATAGGTAGGCTGCAAACATTTTTTCCCATTTTGTTGGATGTCTCTTCATTCTGTTGATCACATCCTTTGCTGTGGAAAAGCTTATGAGTTTAATATAGCCCCATTTGTTTAGTTTTGCTTTTGTTGTCTGTGCTTTTGGGGTCTTGTCAAAGAAGTTCTCCCCTATATCATGTCTTGCAGTATTGCCCCAGTGTTTTCTTTCAGCAATTTCATAGTCTCAAGTCATAAATTTAGATCTTTGATACGTCTTGAGTTGTTTTTGATAATGGTCCACTGATCATTCAGTAGCATGCTGTTTAATTTCCAAGTATTTATGAGTGTTCTATTATTCTTCTTGTTGATTTCCAGTTTTATTCCTTGTGGTCTTAAAAGATATGATTTTAACCTTTTGAAATTTGTTGAGACTTCATGTGTGGTCTAATATATAGCCTATCCTACAAAATGTCCCACACGCTGATGAGAAGTATGAGTATTCCATAGCTATTGGGTAAAATGTCCTATAAATGTCTCTTAGATCTATTTGCTCCATAATATGTTTCAACTCCAATGTATCTTTATTGATTTTCTGTCTCAATGATCTGTCCATTGCTGAGAGTAGAGTGTTGAAGTAACCTACTATTATTATATTGGAGTCTCTCCTTCCCTTTAGGTATAAGAGTATTTGCTATGTGCATCTGGTTGTTCTTGTATGAGGTGCATATATATTTATGATTGTTATGTCTTCTTTAATACTTGAACCTCTTATCAAAACATAATATCCTTTTCTCTTTATACAGTTTTTGATTTAAAGTCTGTTTATTCTGGTATCAGGATAGCTATGCCTGCTTGTTTTTGGTTTCCATTTGCCTGGTATAACTTTTTCCAACCCTTCATCTTCAGTCTATGTATACCTTTGTGCAGTGAGCTTCTTATAGAGAGTAACCTAAGTCTTGCACTGGTGAATTTAATCCACTTACACTCAATGTTATTGAATCTATTCAAAGTTATTTAACAGTATTAACAGATACTATGAAAACCTGTCATTTTGTTGAATGGATAATGATTTTACCTGCTCTATTAGTGAATTTGGTGGTATAATGTTTTCTTATGATGGACACCCTTCAAAAGGTTTTGTAAGGTTTGTCTTTTTTGTGGTCAATTCTCTCAGTTTTTACTTATCTGGAAAATATTCTATCCTTTCCATTTAAAGGATATCTTCATGATACAATAATCTTGGTTGGAAGTTTTTTCTTTTTTTTAACTTTTATTTAATGAATATAAATTTAGAAAGTACAGCTTATGGATTACAATGGCTTCCCCCCCATAACGTCCCTCCCACCCGCAACCCTCCCCTTTCCCACTCCCTCTCCCCTTCCATTCACATCAAGATTCATTTTCGTTTCTCTTTATATACAGAAGATCAGTTTAGCATACATTAAGTAAAGATTTCAACAGTTTGCTCCCACACAGAAACATAAAGTGAAAAATTGTTTGAGTACTAGTCAGAGCATTAAATCTCAATGTACAGCACACTAAGGACAAAGATCCTACATGAGGAGTAAGTGCACAGTGACTCCTGCTGTTGACTTAATAAATTGACACTCTTGTTTATGGCCTCAGTAATCACCCTAGGCTCTTGTCATGAGCTGCCAAGGCTATGGAAGCCCCCTGAGTTCACTGACTCTGATCATATTTAGACAAGGCCATGGTCAAAGTGGAAGTTCTCTCCTCCCTTTAGAGAAAGGTACCTCCTTCTTTGATGACCTGTTCTTTCCACTGGGATCTCACTCACAGAGACCTTTCATTTAGGTTTTTTTTTTCCCCAGAATATCTTGGCTTTCCATGCCTGAAACACTCTCATGGGCTTTTCAGCCAGATCCGCATGCCTTAAGGGCTGATTCTGAGGCCAGAGTGCTGTTTAGGACATCTGCCATTCTATGGGTCTGCTGTGTATCTCACTTCCCATGTTGGATCATTCTCTCCCTTTTTGATTCTATCAGCTAGTATTTGCAGACACTAGTCTTGTTTATGTGATCCCTTTGGTTCTTAGTCCTATCATTATGATCAATTGTGAACAGAAATTGATCACTGGGACTAGTGAGATGGCATTGGTACATGCCACCTTGATGGGATTGAATTGGAATCCCCTGGTATCTTTCTAACTCTACCGTTTGAGGTAAGTCAGCTTGAGCATGTCCCAAATTGCACATCTCTTCCCTCTCTTATTCCCACTCTTACATTTAGCAGCGATCACTTTTCAGTTAAGTTTCAGTACTTAAGAATAATTTATCTTCTAAACTTGTTCACTAAAATGTTTTTTGATATTTTGCAAATATCAAAGAGTCAACAATAAATACAACTGAAATAAGCAGTCAACAGAATTTGGTCTTCATAACGTTTGAGGAATATTAAATGTAGAGTTTTTAACAGCATTAATTTTTCAATGGTAATAGACAATTTTATTGACAGATACATAACCCTAGAATATTAATATATATAGTTGATGCAAGTTCATGGGTTTATGCCCAAATTAACTCTAACATTTAATAAAATTCTGAGAGCAATGCTTTGGCAGGAAAAGGTTCCTCAATGTCTGAACAGACTTTGGTCACATAATCCTGCTCATCACCTAACTGCATATGATCCTGCTTGTGTTTAGGTTGGTAAAGTGCCTAAATTGTGTCAAGCAAATGATGTTAAATTGTCTTACTATGCCTGCAGATGAAGACTCAAAATATGAAATGATGCATTTCTAAAAAAAACATGCCAACCTATAATATTCTTAGAAATAAAAAGTAATGTAGGTTGAGGCAGCATGAACAGAATTTTACTCAATGTGCAGTTTCATGGTCCGGTGAGTTTTATTTCCCAATATTGATTGAATCAAAAGTACAACAAGAGCATGTAGATGCACATACATATGCAAACACAAGCATGTTAATATACATACCACAGGCCACACATACACAGATAAATAAATGATTAGATTTGCAAGCTCTTACAGCCATGGAGGGCATATAAATAAATCAAGAAAGATAGAACCATCACACACACCTTGAGTGTGCAATAAAACAGACTAAATGAATGTATACTAACTAACCAAGAAATGGCCATAGGTAAGCCAGTTTCCCTTAATAGTGCATGACAATCCACACCAGAAAAAAATTTATATATTATTCCTTATATACCTCCATCTTTGTATCATCACTGGGGGAAAAAATCTGCCAGGAATCACAAAAGAATTCCATAACTGATATGATGCCTTTCTCAAAATCAAAAATAATTTTACGTTCTTTTGCCAGAATATGGACATGGGAAAAATATGTGGAAGACCATGGCATTTCAGAAATGATATAATGATGGTGTTTCGTGTTTGCTTTTTTCTCCGCTTACAGAATTTCAACTTATCGAGATAGCTGGAACATGTTCTCTGGGAAATGGTTCAGTTCCAGCGTGATCTGATCTGAATCAGGACACAGAATATGTCTAGTTGGAGAAGTTGAACAAGTGCAGATCTTTATTACATCTTATACTCAGGCAAAAGAAAGTAGCTCAGTGCTGACAGAATTAAACATTTGTGTAGCAGGACCAAGACAGAGGACAATGCTTTATAATAAGTTGTTGTCTACAGAAGGCACCACACCTCCTGCTGTGGGGCTGTTGGATATGTTTTTGGGAAGCAATGAAAATGTTCCAAAGCAGGGAAAGCTCTGTGAGTGTGGTACACATCTGAGCTCTTGCATTTGAGAAGGTCAAGGAAAAGGAACCAAAGTATTCTGGAGAAACTTAATCTCCATTATTTGCTGTACAGATGTCTATGAGGGAAGGACACCTCTGCACATGGGAAAAGGGAAGTCAATCTGTCACTTCAGTCCATATCTGTTAACTCTTGACCCACAGAAGCAGGACCTTCATCATAGCTACCAACACTAGTCCTGCATGTATTTTAACTCTGGCCACCACTGTGGTCATGGCTCTTTAATCTACGATGTCAAATAAGTCCGATTTTTACCCACTGCTTCCTATAAGACTGTATAACCACTGCTTCTCCTACTAAATAAAGGTCTTGGATATCTCTCAAAATTTTGTGGACTTTCCACTGCTGCACGTTCATCCTTACAGCAGTGTGATCCCTGCCACAAAGAAGAGATAACATAGATCCTGAGTGTGGTGACATCATCATTTTCTGCCTCTCCTTACCCACCTCCTCTCTGTCCCATCCCCCTGAAGGGCCATAGAGCTCTGCCAACAGCCATTGTTGCACCTTAACTTTTCCTCCATAGACCTCAATCATGTTCAATAATCCTCAAACCCAGCCCCCAGACTACACCAGTGGTCTTCAAATGGCTTGGAAATTCCTGGGGATTCTCCAGATCTTTCATGAGGTCAGTAAGGATAAATCTCTTTTCAAATTAAGATGCCATTTGCCTTTTTTATTTTAACCTTTTACAAGTGTGCAGTGGAGTTTTCCAGAGCCTACAGATGTGGGCTAGTAACAAAGGTTTCAGTGCAGAAATCTATAAAAATATCCAGATGATTTTTACTAAGCCAGATGTTAAGAAGATTTTCAAACAAATGTAAACAAGTCATTAAACTTACCATATTTGCTTTTGTTTCTGAAAATAGTTGCTTTCATAAATATATGTCCTATGTTAACCTCAAATGAGAATGTTATTGCTAATGTTATTTTTAAAGGAATATAATTTTTATTTTCTCAGTAATAATTTTATTTTTATTTATTTATTTAAAAGGCAGAGGGATAGAAAGAGAAAGAGAGAGAGAGAGAGAGAGAATTATAAGATTGACTCCATCTGCTGGTTCACTCCCCAAATAGCTGCAATGGCTAGAGACAAAAATAAAAATATCATGTTCTCTCTGATTTGTGACCAATAACATATACAGTAGCAAAAATGATAATATAAATAAGTTAACTTGACATCTTGAGATTTGATTATTGTTTATAGCCCATGTCTACACTCCTGAGGCACAGTGAGTGGTCTCTCAACTTACTACTAGTTGAATTCTTTATTAGTAGAGAATTAAGCTTGTGATTCTAAAGTAATTTGAAAGTATGTCATCACGAAATTAAAAGAAAAATAAGAAAACAAGGAAAAAGAAGATGTGAGTGATGGTGGGAGGCTAGGAAACATGATTATGTTCTTAAAACTGTATATATGAAACACATGAAAACTATCTCCTTATATACATATTGTTTTTTTTTTAAAGAGAACCATTATGATCAACTGTGTGCCAACAAAGTGGAAAGTTTTGAAGAAATGGATATATTCCTGGATACACACACACACACACACACACACACAGATAGAAAGATATACAGCTACCAAGATTGAATCAAGAAGATACATACAATTTAATAGACTTATAACAAGAAATTAGTTTGAGGCAGTGATTAAGTCTCCCATCAAGGAAAAGTTCAGGACCTGATGGCTTTCCTAACTAATTCTGAAACACATTTAAAGAGGAATGAACTCTATTATTTTTTAAACTATTGCAAAATATTGAACAGGATGAAACTCTACCAAAATCTTCTTTACAAGGCCACATCACTCTGATTCCAAAATCAAACACAAACACAAAAAGAAAACTACAGACCAATATAAATAGATGAACATAGATCCAAAAATCCCCAACAAAATACTAGCAAAATGAAGCCAAAACCACATTTTAAAAAAGGTAAAACACCGTAATCAGGTGGGATCTAACTCAGAGATGTAAAGGTGTTCACCCACAAATCAATAGAAGTCATAAGTCACATGAACAGAATGAGAAACAAAACCATATGATCATCTCAATAGATATGGAGAAGGCATTTGATAAGATTAAATATCCCTTCACGTTAAAACAAATCTACAAATTGGGTGTAGAAGGAACATACCTCAAAATTATAAAGGCTATACATTACAAATGAACCACCAATAACATACAGAAAGGGAAAAAGCTAAAAAACATTTCTCTTTAGATCTGGAACAAGACAATGATGTTCACTTTCACCACTCTTATTCAATATAGTATTGGAAGCACTAGCAAGAGCAGTTAGGGAGTAAAAAGAAATGAAAGGCACCAAAATTGGAAAGGAAGAAGTCAAAATATCCATGCTTATATATGACATGATAATGTAGAAGGAAAAACCTAAACACTCCACCAAAAAGCTGTTAGAACTGATAGACCAATTTGGTAAAGTTGAGGTTAAAAATAAACATACAAACAACAGTAGCTTTTCCATATGCTAATGATGAACTTGCTGAAATAGAAAAATCCCATTGACAATAAGCACAAAAAATCAAATATTTAGGAATAAATTTAATCAAAGTAAAAGATTTCTACAATAAAAATTATGGTTTACTATCAAGTCATTGTTCTCAGAGACATTAGATAATGAAAGAATGGGTAGCCAATGATGAGAGCCATCAACCAAAATACTTCTTTAAAAAATTTTTTTTAAACTTTTATTTAATGAATATACATTTCCAAAGTACAGCTTATGGATTACAATGGCTTTTTCCCCACCATAACTTCCCTCCCACCTGCAACCCTCCCCTTTCTTACTCCCTCTCCCCTTCCATTCACATCAAGATTCATTTTAGTTTCTCTTTATATACAGAAGATCAGTTTAGCATACATTAAGTAAAGATTTCAACAGTTTGCTCCCACACAGAAACATAAAGTGAAAAATACAGGTTGAGTACTAGTTATAGCATTAAATCTCAATGTACAGCACACTAAGGACAAAGATCCTACATGAGGAGTAAGTGCACAGTGATTCCTGTTGTTGACTTAACAAATTGACACTCTTGTTTATGGCATCAGTAATCACCCTAGGCTCTTGTCATGAGCTGCCAAGGCTATGGAAGCCCCCTGAATTCACCGACTCTGATCATATTTAGACAAGGCCATGGTCAAAGTGGAAGTTCTCTCCTCCCTTCAGAGAAAGGTACCTCCTTCTTTGATGACCTGTTCTTTCCACTGGGATCTCAAGCGCAGAGGTCTTTCATTTAGGGTTTTTTTTTTTTTTCCCCAGAGTGTCTTGGCTTTCCATGCCTGAAATACTCTCATGGGCTTTTCAGCCGGATCTGCATGCCTTAAGGGCTGATTCTGAGGCCAGAGTGCTGTTTAGGACATCTGCCATTCTATGGGTCTGCTGTGTATCTCACTTCCCATGTTGGATCATTCTCTCCCTTTTTTATTCTATCAGCTAGTATTTGCAGACACTATTCTTGTTTATGTGATCCCTTTGGTTCTTAGTCCTATCATTATGATCAATTGTGAACAGAAATTGATCACTGGGACTAGTGAGATGGCATTGGTACATGCCACCTTGATGGGATTGAATTGGAATCCCCTGGTATGTTTCTAACTCTACCATTTGAGGTAAGTCAGCTTGAGCATGTCCCGAATTGCACATCTCTTCCCTCTCTTATTCCCACTCTTACATTTAACAGCGATCACTTTTCAGTTAAGTTTCAGCACTTAAGAAGAATTGTGTATTGATTACAGTATTCAACCAAAGGTATTAAGTAGAACAAACAAAAAAAATACTAAGAGGGATAACATATCAAGTTGCTCATCAACAGTCAGGGTGAGGGCTGATCAAGTCACCGTTTCTCATAGTGTTCATTTAATTTTAACAGGTTTCCTTTTTGGTGCTCAGTTAGTTGTCACCTATCAAGGAGAACAAGTGGTATTTGTCCCTTTGGGATTGGCTTATTTCACTCAGCATAATGTTTTCCAAATTCCTAACAGGGATCACTTTTCAGTTAAAATTTAAACACCTAAGAATAATTGTGTGTTAATTACAGAGTTCAACCAATGGTACTAGAACAAAAAAAAATACTAAAATGGATAAAGTATTACATTGTACATCAACCGTCAGGACAAAAGCTGATCAAGTCACTGTTTCTCATAGTGTCCATTTCATTTCAACAAGTTTCCCCCTTGGTGCTCAGTTAGTAGTCGCTGATCAGGGAGAACATATGATATTTGTCCCTTTGGGACTGGCTCAATTCACTCAGCATGATGTTTTCCAAATTCCTCCATCTTGTTGCAAATGACCAGGTTTCGTTGTTTTTGACTGCTGTATAGTATTCTATAGAGTACATGTCCCATAATTTCTTTATCCAGTCTACTGTTGATTATTAGAAAGCAATGGAAAAACCCTGCAAGATATAGGTACCGGCAATGACTTCTTGGAAAACACCCCAGAAGCACAGGCAGTCAAAACCAAAATCAACTACTGGGATTGCATCAAATTGAGAATTTTCTGTACTGCAAAAGAAACAGTCAGGAGAGTGAAGAGACAACCGACAGAATGGGAAAAAATATTTGCAAACTATGCAACAGATAAAGGGTTAATAACCAGAATCTACAAAGAGATCAAGAAACTCCACAAAAACAAAACCAACAACCCACTTAAGAGATGGGCCAAGGACCTCAATAGACATTTTTCAAAAGAGGAAATCCAAATGGCCAACAGGCACATGAAAAAATGTTCAAGGTCACTAGCAATCAGGAAAATGCAAATCAAAACCACAATGAGGTTTCACCTCACCCCAGTTAGAATGGCTCACATTCAGAAATCTACCAACAACAGATGCTGGAGAGGATGTGGGGAAAAAGGGACACTAACCCACTGCTGGTGGGAATGCAAATTGGTTAAGCCACTATGGAAGTCAGTCTGGAGATTCCTCAGAAACCTGAAGATAACCCTACCATTCAACCCAGCCATCCCACTCCTTGGAATTTACCCAAAGGAAATGAAATTGGCAAACTAACAAGCTGTCTGCACATTAATGTTTATTGCAGCTCAATTCACAATAGCTAAGACCTGGAATTAATATAATTAAAATGTCTGTACTATCTAAAGCAATCTATAAATTCAATGCAATCCCTATCAAAATACCAATGAGATTCTTACAGAATTAGAAAACCAATCCTAACATTCATATGGAATCACAAAAGACCCTGAATAACTGAAGTAGTGCTGAGAAGAAAAAATAGCAAGCCAAAGGCATCACAATATCTGATTTCCAAGCATACCACAAAACTATAGTAATTCAAACAGCATGATAATGATATATAAAAAAAAAAAACAAAAAACAGTTAAAATTGCCCAGACCACATACTGGAAAAAGAATAATCTCTTCTATAGATATATCTATAGTTCTATAGATATAGATATGAATAAAATTAGATCCCTACCTCTCACCATACACAAAAATCAATTTAATATGGATCAAAGGCCTACCTTAAAGTACTGAGACTATGAAATTGTGGAAATAAAATGTAGGGGAAAGAGTTCAAGACAGTGGTGTAGGAGATGACTTCTTAGATAAGACCCCCAAAGAACAGGAAATAAAATCCAAACTAGATAAATGGAATTATACCAAACTCAGGCTTTTCTGCATAATAAAGGAAGCAACAAATAAAGAGACAGCCAACAGAATGGGGTAAACAATTGCAAGCTACCTATCTTCAGTTAATACTCAGAATATATCAGCAACTCAAAATCTTAATTAAAAAACAAATTCAATTACAAAATTGGCAATAGATAGTTCTCAAAAGAAGGAAATAACAAACGACCAGCAAATACATGGAAAAATGCTCAACATCACTAGCCATCAGAGAAATGCAAATCAAAACCACAAGAAGATATCACCTCACCCCTGTCAGAATGGCTATTGTCCAAAAGACAGAGTATCAAGTTCTAGTGATAATGTTGACAAAGAGAAACTCTTACTACCATTATGATGGGGATGTAAATTAGAGCAGCCACTGTGGAAAACACTATTGAAATTTCCTTAAAAACTAGAAATAGACTTGCCATATGATACATCAATCCCACTACTGAGTATATACCCAAAAGAAATGAACACACTGTATCAAAGAGACACCTGCCCCCGCCATGTTTACAGCAGCACTGCTCACAACAGCCAGATATGGAATCAACCAAGGTTTCTATCACCAAATAGATAATGCAAATGTGGCATATATACACAATGCAATGTTATTCAGCTATGAGAAAAGAGTGAAATTCTAACATCTGCAGCAAAATGGCTGCAACTGGAGGGTATCATGTTGAGATAACCCGCACACAGAAAGACAAATACTGTATATTCTCCCTTATTTGTAGGAAGTAAATTTTTTTTTTTGAGATTTAAAAGATTTATTAGTGTCAAAGGCCTCCAGCCAGAGTATCATGTAGAGGGGCTCCAAGAGAGGCAAAACCCGAAGGAGCTGGTGGTATGGGGTTTTTAAGCACAATTTTGGGGAAGAAAAACTCTTACCAACTTGACATTAGTTACAAGGCAGGGACAAAACCCATCAAAAGACCTGATTTGCAGTCTTTTATCCTGTCTGTCTTGCTCATTATAAAACAAAGTGCCATAAGGAGGGTGGGCTACCTGATTTGCTTTACAGTAAACTGGAATCTCAGAAGAAATGGTCACTCCCTTGCTATTCTCATGATAAGACTGAGATTCCTAAGGAGTAGGGCAGGCACTTCTGGTCTTGCTAAAGATAACTTTTGGGAGAAGAAAGCACTTTGTGTGGGGAGCAGCCCGGACTGGACTGAGTTACTGGAATTAAGACTTATTCTATGCATCTGCTCTCCCACAATATGGCGCTGGGAGAGAAGTAAACAGCTTCCGCACAGCTGCCTCCAGTTCAACTAATAAACTGTAGGACTTGCTATTGATTGGAGGAGAGCAGCGTACTCGGCGTGTGGGCAGCCGAGTTAGGATTGGCGGAGGAGGACTATAAAGGAGGAGAGAGACGGCATGCACCAGGAACATCTAAGGGGAACATCTAGCTGAAGGAACACCTGTGCAGCCCCCGAGAAGAGCCGGCCGGCGGTGTGCCGCTCCCCTGCGGAAGTGGGGAATGTGGCCAGGGGGAACTGCCCTTCCACGGAGGTGGAAGGGATAGTAGCCAACCCGGGAAGAACCAGCAGCAAACCCGGGGAAGGCCGAGCAGACGAAAGAACAGCGCAGGGTCCTGTGTCGTTCCTCCACGAAGAGGGGGAGCGACATAATGGTGCCGTGACTCGGATATGAAGCCTAGGCAGGATTTAGTGTTGCTCCTCCATGAAGAGGGGGAGCGACACTTTGCACCCTAAATTTCCACTGGGACCAAGATAACTGCCTATTAAACCACCTGACTCCTCACATCCCTTCCCCAGAATAATGGACCCTAACTCCTGTTAGGGGAACCAGGCGATGACCACTCTGGCTTCTTCAAGCTAAATGGGGTTAGAGTCAAGGCAGGGTTCCAGGAAGAGGTGGTTTTGAGGGGGACACAGTACCAGCTTGCAAACTGCTTCCATGCAATATTTCATGAGTATGGCCATCTAGAATTTCACTGTTTCAAGTCTGGAGACAACAAATCTAACAAGCAGATTAAACTCACACAGTCTAAAGAACAGTCATCATTAGAGGAACTAAGAAAGTAAAATAAAAAAATAAATAAAAACAAAGAAACATCTGTATCAGTATCACTGCAGATATAGTTTTGTTGAACTTTGCTTTATATCTTTGTAAAAAAAAAGAGAGAGAGAGAGAGATGGAAGGGATGGAGAGAAAGAGAAAACCCAGAAACCCAATGCACTGTCAGGGAGAAAAAGTCCAGAAAGCAAACTGCCAATCCCTCTGGAAGAAGATATGCCATCAATAATGACACAGACCTGAAAGTAAGCTCATCAGATCTGCAGGCCACAGGCTCTGAGAATCAGAAAAGCATTAACAATCCCACCTTCAGGGCAATGAGAGTTCTATAGACTCCTGAGGCTGCTGGGAGATGCGGTAAATCTCAGGAGCAGACTGTAGTGGTGGTGAATTGCAGAAAGCGGAGCAGGCAGGTAGAATGCATAGAATGAGCTCCCAAAGTGACTCAGATGATGTCTAGGAAACTTTGTAATTTACACAGTGGATGGAGAATGCTGAGCAGGGAAGGATGCGGACTCTTATATTGTGCTCATATATCCTTGTTCACTCTCCACTGGCTGCAGGATCTCAATGGTCATCATAGACAGATTACTCCCCGCAGGGACTTACTTATAATCTCCAGCCACAGCCCACCACCTTCTTTCACATCATGGAACTCTGAGAACATACCAAGAATCTATTGATTCCCTTTCCCTCCAATTCCTTATGTTCTTCTGTGAACATTTGGTAAGATTCCCTAGAGACTCTCATTATAGAGTTTCCAAGAACACTGCTCTGGCACAATGATTCTGACAGGTAAACCTCTTTGATTTTCTTGCACTTACCCAGTTTTTCCAGTAGGATACCTCTTCTTTCTCTGGTTGTTCTCTCACAGTCATGCTATTCTTCTCAGGCTTTTCAGACCCTTTGAAGTTGGCTAGAGCCAGATGAGTTAAGAGTAATAAATGAACAACTCTATGCATGGAGCCCAATGTTCACTTTTGTACTACTCTGTACACAAGTCTTGTTGAACTGAACACGACCCAAAAGAGCAAGGAAGGGACAGGTCAGTTTCTTTCCAAATCTCCATCCACATGCAGCTTTTTTCCCATAAACTTGAGCTAATCTCACACATCTGTGGTATATATCCTTTGATATACCAAGGATAGCAAGGATTTTCAGAAAACATATATTTTTTAGATGTATCTAGGAAAGGCATTTGGAGCAACAGTTAAGATACTGTTTGGGATGCCCACATTCCATACAAAGTGCCTGGGTTGGAGTCCCAGGTCCAGTCCCAATTCCAGCTACCCACTAATACAGATACTGGGAGGTGGCATGATGGCTCAAGCACTTGGGTCCTTACCACATGGGAGACTCACACTGACTCCCTGGCTCTTGATTTCTGCCTGGCCCTACCTAAGGTGTTGCAGGAATTTGGAAAGTGAAGCAGAGCATGGGAAACATCTGTGTTAGTGCATGTTTCTGTTTCTTGCCCACTCACTCTCTTTTTTCTCTCCCCACCTTTGAAATAAAATTTTAACTTTTAAAGGAGATATCTGACTTCTTTATAGAGTCTCATTATAAGAAAATAAGATGGTAGCTTCCTAGGACTCTCCTCTACTTTAAAAAGCTGAGCTAATAAATTGAAATTTGGGGCTCATTAGGGATTCCTAAAACAAGACAGAAGACATATTAATCCAAAAATCCCCATTCAACAGCCCATGGCAGGTGGAT